ATTGCATGATCAATAATACCTTTAGTCAATAGTAGTTTTGCAATCAGATCATTTCTACCATAACATCCAATAAGACGAACATGACAGGAATTCAACTGTTCAAATTGAATTTTAGAAATCGATTTAAAGCTGCCTGATATCATTTCATTACAAAGTTTCTTCAAATGTTGCTCTGAAATCAATATCTTGTCAACTATAAAAATATACATATTCAATATTAATAATTATCAAGAATGTTTTGTGCACGCAATTGTATGAAATTGAATCTTCTATGTGTACCAAGACCATTCGACCCTTTGTCTTTACATAAGTCTAATAAACGGTAAAGGCCTGGAATCGATTCACACAAGTCATAACAAGTATTGACTGTTTCTTGGTCTATTTCTGCACTAACTTCAGAGGATTCGTCTGCAAAAGTCATTTGGCACGAAAGAAAATGCATTAATAAAATTATTTCTTAATAATATGTTTATATTATTTTGTTTTTCTGCATTGCCGCTACTTATTTAAAGATTTTATGTTGTTGGCTACTTCACGATCCTCTAAATGATTGCTAACGCTATTCGATTTAGAAATGAGATTTCCGATATCTAATGAAAAATGACCAGTGTAATTGAGCTTAAATGTAAAAATATATTATTGCATCACCTGAATCATTTTTTGGTCCTTGATTATCCATGGTAACAAGCAAACTGATGCGAAAAAAATTAAAAATACATTTTGTCGCCTTAATGATTTAATCCTAATAATTCGGAGATTCGCTTATCATGCACCGGTAGGCAAAATCCAAAAAAGGATTCATTGATTCTATAAGGGATTGCTTGATTGCTTAGTGCATTGTCGAAAGAACGCGATGTTGTTAAAATAAAGGAAATTAGTGCTTAAGTTAGGGAACAACGTCATCTTGTATAACTTACACTTTCTATATATGAAAGTATGTTCATACGCGATTGTTTCCATAATAAACGACAATTAAAAATTATGTACTGTGTTTCCCAAAAATAAGCTACGTACGACTACGCATATGGGCAGATATGTGCGGGTTTTTATTAGAGATTTTTTTTATTATATAAAACAAATATGCGCAGAGGGCTTTGATTAGCGTTAGAGGAAATTACGTGCAGGGTCTTTGATTATCGCTGGAGGGAATTACGTGAAGAGTGGTGTTTTTTGATTAGTGTTAGAGGAAATTACGTACAGTGGGCTTTGATTAGCGTTATGTAGAGGGTTTTGATTAACTTTAGAGAAATTTTTTATTATATAAAATATATACTTTAAATTTCCGTCAATTGGGAATTATCGTGAATAATGTATGTTGTTTTGGAATCTGTAGGTATACAAAATTTCTGAGTGATGTTATTGTTTCTGAAAAGTTTTTTGATCGGAGCTTAGAAATTAAAGCTAAAAATAGTATCATTAAATTATCTTTGTGCATTCATATTACACATAGAATTACGCCTAGTGTTCCGACCCAGTTAGGTATCACCCGCGGGTGGGCGGGTGACCCGGGTTTGAGTTATTCTGAATGTTGCCAATTCATTGGCTTTTCTTCTTAAATCACTGCGAGAATTTTAACATACAAGAAGAGAAGAGTAATGTTGTTTATACCAGCTCTATAAAAAAATGTTGAACCACGTTTATTATTCCATGTTTTTTTCTATTAATGTTTCATTTTCATGGAATTTATAAACTAATATCATGGAAATTTTCATCTCCCTAACACAGATATCCGTAAATGTATCATTTTCATGAAATTTTTACGGAGGCTACGGAGAAATATTCGAAAACCTTTTTTATAGGGCAGGGTAACCCAGGTTAGATATTTATGATTTATTATACTGCTATTATCATAATTTTTGGAACACCTGATAAAAATTAGCCGGATGATTTTTCGGCCGATCCGGCTAAGATATTATCTCGGCATAATTGTTTCAATAAAATTACAAAATTGTAGGTATGTATGTACAAACATACGTACGTAACTTTTACATTAAATAGTGCTAATTATTGCACTAGCATTACAAAAATTTTGCCAACATTACTAGACTTTATGAGCCAGCTCTACGAGAGTTTAAACCGGGGAAAATTCACCACCAAAATCTTTTTCAGTTCATGTAATATAATTTAATGTGCATTGTTTTATCATATTCTAACTTAAAAAATGGCCAATGAAATGGTGATTATTAGAATCATATCACATAATCTGCAATAAATTTAGGTGACGAATTTTACCCGGTTGAGTTTTGGCCAATATTATTCACGAAAAAAATTACGTACAATTTTGACTTCAGAACTTGTACAAACTTATGTGAAATTATAGTAATGTTTCAACCCTATACATGAAAGACATGTCACATATAATACTTGTTCTGCAAATAATTTTATAATTATAAAATGCTGACATGTTCAGTGTTATAAATTTTTGGTTGAATATTTTGTGTTTAGTTTGTGTGCAAACTTATGGAGAAGGCCAAAATATTGACAAGAAATATAAAACGCCTCCAGATATAAAATAGACTTCTATAATAAGCATATTACACGAGTAGTGTCAACATTAAGAAAGTTAGATATGATCAAGAATTTCGTCGATTAGTTTAAAGATATGACTCAATTCCGTTCAAGAAATCTTTATTTTATTAATATCTGTCGCAATGTTATTTAAACCAACCGAATATAACCCGCTCTTAAAGTATTGAAATTACTAATGTCAAATATACGAAAACAA